TGACTATGTTAGAAGTGGGCTGATAGGTTGAATTCAAGAGGGTGGCCAAATTATCAATAGATTGGATATGGTTCAATGGTTCACAAAATGGCCATAGCATCTTCATGTTAGGATAAATCATTGGAGAGTGTAGGCTTATATTTTGAAATATTATATGTATTTGAATTATTAAAATGTCTTGGAATGATGTGACCTAACCATAAGCAAGTTGGAAGAGGAGGTCAACAATACACAGGTAATTTTCATCATTAACTTCATCATTAGATGTTTTGTCTTGATTTACAGAGGTGGTAGGTACTCCTTGGAAGATGCAAAAGGTGTTACTGTGCAAATTAGAATTTTGTTTCCTTCTGTCATCTACAAGATGTTGTGCATCGTGATTTAAGCCAAATGGAATTTCTCTCTTTTTTATGGGAAAATTAGCAACTTTTTGAAATCATACAAAGTCTATTTTTTTTCTTATAATAGAGATATTTCTTTTATTATTATATGTTGCATATGCTTTTCTTCTAGACTTCCTTGTAGAACTTTCTTTTTAATTATTTTTGTAGAATGTCCTGGTTCATATAATGTAGCATTATCACTTAATAAGGATAAATTCCTAAAAAATGTGTCTGCCTGTGGAAATTTTGAATGTCTTATACAACAAATCTAAAGATAAATCTTGATTCTATAAAAGTGGAAAGTTGGTTTTCCAATCAGAGTAGTTAAGGGTCGGTTTGGGATGGCTTCACTGCTGCTTTGCTGTATAAAAAGCTGTGAAATGATAGTTTGGGACATTGCAGCATAACCGAGTAAATTTTTGCGGCCCATGCTGCTGACCGTGACCTTTGACTGGCTCCCGCGGTTCGCTGCTTTCCGCGGTTTCGAACGACAGAAATGTCGTAAATGCCCACTTGTGCGACAATTCTCTTTATCATTTCCGATCTCCCTCATGGTCGGCAATATCATCTCCTGACCATGCCACTACAGTTTCTGTAGCACAGGCAGTGGTGGCCGGCGACGGCGCAAAAGATGGCGTAATATATTAGGAAACAAGTCTATCAACTGATCTCTTTCCCTATTTCAGTTTTCTCATCATTTCTTTGTGTTTTATCTTCGAATGTCTTCCGACCTAAATTTGGCATTTGTATTGAGGAAGTCCATCGACAGACAAACAAGAACAAGTTGCTGCATCTTCTTCTGTTAGGGCCACCTAGGACGGAGAAGACGTCAACGATCCTGGTTCTGGCACAGAAGCTCTAGGGGGAAACTCAATATTTCTTGTATTGTTTATGCTAGGTTTAATTGGACAAGATTGATTTATTTTCGTCTCCTTTTTTGAATTAGTTGAGGAGATTTGTTATTCATACACGTATTTGGAGTGAGCAAGGGAGATGAAGGTAATTTAATTTTACTTTCTCCTCTATCTTTGACATCCTTCTCTTGGTTTTGTAGAATGGAATATACAATGATTGCCTTTTTCTACCCCTAAATGAATGATTTTTGCCTATTATTGTTTGTCTGGCAATTAAGGAGTGGACCAAGCCAGTCGTCATATTTATTTCCTGCTAAGCTCATTCATGCATGAGCTGAAACCTTTACTTAGCTTAAACTTGAAGCCAATTTTTACAACCTACAGGTTTTTTTAAGCTAAACTTGGTTTTTATGTAACATTGCCAACACTCTAAAAGAAGATATTCTTTTTTTAGGAAAAAAAAGGTCAAGTATAATTGTCTCATAAATTTAAATTTTGTAATTTGTGATACAATTGAACATAACCACAAAATTGGGATCATGTGTATTCTCATCTAAAGCAAATACTCATGACAATGTAGATTTGATGGATCAGGTAGTTTGTTTGATTTGACTGAATTAGATCTATGTATTGTTGACGTTCCATGATGAAATTTGCAAGACCTACCTACACCCACCTGTCAGTAAGTTAGTAACTTAAATTTTGAAGAGGATTGTTGCTTAGATTTTTTTTGTTTATAATTCTGTAGCTAGCATCTACTGGGCATCTATCCACATTCTCCTTGCTATTTCTTTAAAGATAATTTATGTTATAAGCATTTTTCCCCTATTGGAGTTGAAACAAATCTCAAGGTTCTTGTATTATTGACAAACATTCAAACTTAACATGAGTTATTTTTTTGGGGATGATCAATGTTTTGGAGTAGATTTGTTGAGGATTTTTTGGGGATGATCAATGTTTTGTTAGAAGCAGATAAAAAGTCCAGCTCGTAAATTTGTGAGTTTTTTTTTTTGGATGATCAATGTTTTGGAGGATTTGTGCATCCGTTGTTAGTCGTCAATCCACTTTGAATTGTTGAGATTGATTCCAATTGTTTGTTTTGATTTTTAAAGCATTGACTTTTGAGAAGAAATCTGAACTATTCAAAGTGTATTGAATGCTGGGATTTTGTTATTTGACCTCTCAAATTATCCTGTTAATTATAAAAGATTTGAATTCGTGATATATCATACTCATTGTCGCAATCAAATACTCCTTTGGGCAATATTTTAATGGTTTGCTTTATAGTTTCAAACCACATTTTGAAGATGCCAAGAAACATATCCAACAATTTGCTTAACATACAATTGCATCACATTTCTCATCAAAATTACAATCTGCCTTTAGCCTGGTGTGAGCCAAAAGCTTAGAAGAGAATGAGAGTATTGTAAATTGAAGCCAGCCTTGCTTTTCTACCAAATTTTGTTCAATTTCATTGGGCATCATATGTTTTGTATCACCTATGTACATTTATCACTTCAACCTTAAAATCAGAAATGTGGATACTTTCAGTAATGAAAAACAATCAAGTTTTATTAGTGTTATAGTCGTCTATGTTCTATTGTTTTGGTTTTATGGGAAAGTCTTTGGTTGACTGTGAGATATTGCGAGCTTCTGTCATATCAATGGTATTGACATTTATGTTATTTTAAGAGTTAATTTCTTTTGATGTATGTTATTAGAATTTAGTTTTGAAAATGAATTTCATTGCAGTAAATTTCAATGATATTAATTTGTTGTATGAACGTATTTCATGACAATTTAGTTTTACTATCTATTCAAATTATGGATACTTTTGAATTTGATACCATTTTATTATAATTGTTAATAAAAGTAATATTTTATTCCAACTTTTCTTAATTTTTGGTTAGCAGTAAGCACATTATTACTTAGTGTAAAAAATATTTTTGAAGCCTTCTTAGGTTTTTTTCTCAACTTCATAGAAGTGAAAATAAAATGTAACTTATTTTATTCAAATTTTATCAAAAGCATTAACATTAAGGCATGGAATAATTATTACTTAGCTTTTAAAATCGTAATTATAATTTTTATTTTATCATTGGTTTTTTTACGGCTTACAATTTTTTTATTAAAAATTTATATTTTACAACAACATTAAAAAATATTTTTTGATAGCATCTTTAATATATATAAAAAATTGTATCAAATTAAGGGATATAATTTTGATTTAGAACTGTTATTTGGTTTTCACATACATTTTAAAAAAATTATCTTTTAAAAAAATTTCTTTCATCTCAATATTTATAAAGGTATGAATGTATTTTGTTCATGCATAGTTGTAGCACAGCAGCTCCACAGTTATACTATCCAAACAAAATATAAGGATTTATATACAGCAACTTCAGAAAGCAACTTTATGTACAATAATGTCACAACCAGCTTTACCGACAGTTGCAGCCGTCCCAAACGCACCCTAAATTACTTTTCCTATATCAACTTGACACTTAACTTTATAAAATGCTCCATTCATAACAAACAGACTCTTAATTATATGTATATTTCAAATATTTACTTTATATATATAATCATTGGGTAATTATTATCTATTATTCTTACTATTAGTTATAATATTTTTGAAGGAGTTGGTAAATAATTTTAATTATGCCTCAATTTTCATAATAAAATTAATCAATTAAAATTTTGTTTGGGATAGCTTTAAAATTGCTCTTATTTCTCAGCTATAGTTTTAAAATTATGTTTTGAAAAATAAAATTTTAAAGACAAAATTTCAAATATATATTATTTTTTACTAATTATTTTTTCTTAAAAAATGGTAAAAAAGTATTTTAAATGAAGCCTAAATAAGCATGATAATAAATACTTTAATAATCATTCATAAAGCTTGCAAGCACATCAATGAGAGAAGTACTAATAGAACTTTATAGTATTTTTTAGTTAATCTTATTGATCTTTTAGCAGACTTTTCTATAAATCTTGGTATCACAATACTTTCCTTGTAATTCATTTAAAGTTACTAAATTATATAAATTTATTTGAATAAAATAAAGATTAATAAAATTTAAAGATCAATTTTCTTATATTGATTATTGTATTTTTTAAAAAATTCATTAATAATTTTGATGGCTAATGAAAAAAAATATATACAAAGGAAATTGAAAATATCATGTAAATGAAGAATTAAATTTATAAAATAATTTTTAATAAAAATAAAAAAAATAAATTCATATATTTAATAGGATCATTTGAGAAATATCTTAAGGATTAAACATCAAATCATAATGATTATATATTAAATATAAATTAAGAAGAACTAAGAAATTAATTAATGGAGAGTTATGGACGATCATGATTTAACTCAAATAAATGGATGTTATATCATCGTTGATTGATATGCTAGTCCTGAATATAACTTATTTAGCATTACTCAATTAGGGAAGTAATTATTCTAATAAAAATCTGTCATATTGACATGCTTAAAATTTCAATTTATTTTTATTTTTTACACATAAAAATAAAAACTCAATTATACCCTCTTTCATAAAGGGATTTAGTATAGTTTTTTTTTAATGTATTTAACTCTTATTTTTAATTAGATGCACGTTTGTTTCAATAAGAGATTTTTTTTTTTAATTTTTTTTGTAAAATTTAAAAATATTATTAACTATTGTTATCTATTATTCTTCTTAATAAATAATAACTATCAAGTATTAAAAATTACTCTTATCTTCTACCTGTTCAAACTTTCCCTTTCTAACGCCGCCGGTGAGAAGCAGAAGGCTCGGATGATTCAAATTTCGATCAGCACTCCAAGCCCGACGGATCAGGAGAAGGATTCAAATTTCCATCGGCACTCAAAGCCCGACGAAAGATTAGGAGATTTCTCTATACGTGTAAAGCAGGAAATGAGTTTGCAAATGAAAGCTCTTTCCTTCACCTGTAATCAGTTCACTCCGCCTATTTCGCGCGCGCTCCTTCCGCTTGGACTGAGTATGGAGCTTCCTCTTCTTCTTCACCTATTTCGCGCTTGCTACTTCCGCATCGAGGCTTCCTTCCGCATCGAGGCTTTTTCTTTACCTATTTCTTCTGTAATCGAGCATCTTCTCCAGTTTCACCGAAGTTCTACCTTCGCCTCTCCTTACTTCCCAAAATGGCCACCGCCGCTGATTCTGCTTGCGCCGTCACAATGATCGGGCTGCTTCATGCATTTCGGAAATACATTCATAAGCCTCCAGCCACGTTACCCTCTTCTCCGAAAAATTTGCTTCAGCCTCCAGTCAAGTTACCCTGCTCTCCATTTCATCCTTCTAGCATTTATTTCAATTCTCCCACCTCCAAATATCCTTTCTTTCCCATTGCTGTCCGACCCTTGATCACTAACCTAAACCCCTCTTCCATTACTATCCCACCCAAGGCTAAACATGGATCATCCCGCAAGGTGAATATCAGATGCAGATTCGGTGGTAAGCTCATGCCACGCCTTAGCGACGGTGCTCTACACTACGTGGGCGGACGAACGCGTATAACAGACTTCCGCCGAGATTTGACACTACAGGAGCTTTACTGCAAAATGGAAGAAATCTATGGCGGACCTGCTAACATATGCTACAAGCTTCCTGATCAAAACCTTGACAGACTCGTCTCCATCTCAACTGCAGAAGATTTGAAAAATATGTTGAACAAGTATGACTACCTCAAAAAGACCGCTAAATGTGGATACCCGAGACTTCATATCTTCCTCTTCCCCTTGTCAAATAGGGAGAATTCTTTGGCTGACGTCAATGATGCGGCTTGCAATAACAGTGGGCTGAGTTGCATCGAGGAAGTCAATGGAGCTACTAAGGCTCATGGATTCAAAACATACAAGAATGATGACCAAAAAGCCGCCACCTCCATGTTGCATGTAGATGACAAAGGTGACAGAAGCGGTATGTCTCCTATCATTTTATTCTTCTATTATTGCTTTGGTTTCTTTCAACTCATCATTAATTGACTTTTTAGGGAATGAAAATACTTCCGTGCCAGAGCATCAGAGTTTTTTGGCTCATTCAAATATTAATGATGAAATAAATGGGATCCCTCAAATAATCAATCCGCCGAATGATGCGCTTTATGTTTTACCAACTTATGAAGAGCCTCGGCAAATTCATTACACTACACCCTCTTCTTCTGCTATGGCCCATGAACCTCAACCGGTAAATATGATTACTCTTTCTCAAAACTCTTATACACCGTTTCCTTATTCACATGCTAAAACAGTGACAAAACTTTCATTTAATAAAATCTCATAAAATGTAATTCTTATTTAGTATGTATTATTCATGTACTTAGACATTTTATGCAACTTTTGTAAATCCTTTGAAGCCTCGCCATGTGTGTTTTTTGCAGCAAAATCATCAATTGTATGGAGAATATTTGTCTGGGATATCCAATTCGAACTCAATCTTCCAAAATCAGGATCCTCTGAATGTTCCTGGTCCCTCGAACATTGATTCATATTTTGGGCATTTTAGACATACACGAGGTTTGCAAATTTCTTTATAAGAGTAATAAGTTTCAAATATCAATGCCCAATTATTATTATTATTATTAACTTAAATACAATTATACTGATAATTTTTTTTATGTTTTACCAACTTATGAAGAGCCGCGTCAGATTCATTACATTACACCATTTTCTTTTGCTATGGCCAATGTGCCTCAATCGGTAAATATGATTACTCTTTCTCAAAACGCTTATACACTTTTTCCTTATTCACATGCTAAAACAATGACAAAACTTTAATTTCACAAATTCTCATAAAATGTAATTCTTATTTAGTATGTATTATTCATGTACTTAGACATTTTATGCAACTATTGTAAATCCTCTGAAGCCCATCATATGTGTTCTTTGCAGCAAAATCATCAATTGTTTGGAGAAGTTTTTCCTGAGATATCTGATACAAACTCAATCTTTCAAAATCAGGATCCTTGGAATGTTCCTGGTCCCTCGAACATTGATTCATATTTTGGGCATTTTAGACATACACGAGGTTTGCAAATTTCTTTATAAGAGTAATAAGTCTCAAATATCAATATCCAATTATTATTATTATTAACTTGAATATAATTATACTGATAATTTTTTTTTTATTTTTGGTTATTAAGACATAGGCACTTATGAAGCAGATGAAGATCTTCGTAATATTGTTGAATTAGTTGAATCAGTGATTCAATCCCCTTGAGGTTTGTGTCTTCACTCTTTTATTTTGATCAAATGAATCTAGTACAATATTATTTTATTTGATTATGATATATATAGACAACTCGAGTTTCACAATGCTTCTATACTAGTTTACCAAAAAGTTGAGGTGATACATTTTGTTTTTTAAAAATTAGTTTCTTCAGTTTATCTAGACAACAAGAATCTAACATTTATTTTATATTTTATTAAATCATAATTGTGTAAGTGGAATATTAGTTGGTTTGATTGAATTTTTCATTGACCTTTCGCAGCAAGTGTTAAGCAGGATATCGCCATGATTTGGTTTAAATCCATCCAAGTAGTTTTTGTAACCTTAATCTTATCATCTCATGTAATCCTCTTTTCACCTTATTACATGATAAATTGTGGATTTGATAATTTCTTTTGGTGCCTAGATTTAATGCAATTTAGCTTTTCTGACTTCTCTCTCTTTTTTTTCCCTCTCAACCTGTCTTTCCTGTCGTTTACAAGTGGTTGACGTCTTTTGTTTTTCTTTAATTTATATATCGTTTGGTCAAAATTGAATTGTTCATGTAATTTTCTATATTATTAGAGGTCCTCATTCTCTTCAGCTATGTTTCTCAGGTTCACTAACAAGCAACTCCCAGAGGTCATGTTGCTGGAATACTTACAAGGTATCTATTTGCTCAACAGATATAGAAATTCTATCCGACAGTGAAATGAAATAATACCCATCTTTATCTTTTGTTGGCATTTTATTTCGTTAGATGACATAGTTATGCATTTAATGCATCTTGTTTGCTCATATTCTTCCTGACAATGGAATACATCCACAATCTCAGGTTCTTTCCATTACATCCCACTCCCATGTCCATGCCCACAACTAGTTTGATCTAAGCTATCTTGAAATTCCAGGACCCAACTCCATAGCTGTTGCTTCAAACCAGAACTTAAGATTATGGGGAATTTCATTCAAATAATCCAATGCTAGCAATATATATGTTTGTTCAACTGCAAAATCAAGCGTGTCACAGTAGCAATTCCTCTAAAACTCTTGCATAGATCACTTAGCTTAAACAAGTTTGGTCCATACTTATTTTGGGTTATTTATATGACTTTCCTAATCAATATTTTGAAGAGTATTTATTCTGGTAAGCTTTTAAAGGTCATTTTAAGCTTTTCATTTTGAATGTTGTTATTGTTAGTGATTCTGTGACAAATGGATTTGGATTAATCGCAGTGGTGTAGAGCTCTTCCAAACCATTTTTATTCACTTAAGCCTAATGATAGACTCCCAATTCGGTCGTCTTAGAAAAGGCTGTCTAATGTCGTCATTGAAAGGACTATTATGAGGCCTTGAGTAATTCAAGATCAGATTTTTATGCACAACAGAAAATCCTTTCCCTTTATTCTTTCTTGATTTGAAAAAAAAAGGCAGCTGCGGGATTAAAAGTAAAATATAAATTTAACTAGCCATTATGAGCGTTTTATGATGTTTCTTACTGAAGTCTGGTCTATAAACAATAAAAGTATTTGATTATCATTTCAAAATAAATGTCGAACATAACTTTTTTTCTTTTTGGGAAAATTTTGAGTGATGAAGCAGAAATTTGATGTAAGGGGCATTTGATCCTAGTAACTTGGTCATACTTCCAAGATGTATACTTAGATATATCTGGCAATGACAACAAATAGCAGATTTTGGACTCAACCACAAGGCCAAAATGTTAAATAATAAGTTAAATGTCCTACTCAACTTGGTATTCATCTAGGTTATAAGTTTGTGTTTCTTTACTAAACTAATAAAACAAATCTACCCACAATTATGAAGCTTGATAAATAGACAAGACAAGCTGCAAATGTATTACATTATTCGATCTTCTAGTTGTATCTGATTCTCTAGCTATGGCATCCTCAATAGTCCAAGCAGCATTTAAATGATGGTTTCCATTTGTTAGAGCCAATAATCATTAAATGAATTCAATGACCCATTTTCATTCCAGGAAATTGCAGGCCTCCAGAAAGTTGAAGGTCCTGGCATGATCAGCACAATGGAGGAGACGGCAAGGCTCTCTCACCATGTTGATTCTCTACCTCTTCTCGCAAAGCAACAGATTAACTGGATAAGAACCGCCATCAAACCCAATATGGAAGCTCAGAACTATGCTTATGCAAAGCAAATGCTCCACCAAGCAATCAAGAATGCAGAATGAAGTGAAGAACCTGATTAAAGAGGTCTCTCAAACAAATCAATTGATCTAGAGGAAGATCCCTCTCAATTCTGTTAAGGCAAAGTAATCCTTATGTTTCCATTATTTTATCCATCGCTTACTTAATTGTCTTTTTCTGATTAATCACAGCCCTTTATGTTTAGCCAATTGATCAATTCTCTACCGTTAGATATAGTATATCATGCATATAAAACTTTCTGTTATGTACTGTTGAAAGGTATACATAGGATAGAATTGTTAATTCCATGGATGATGATAATCACATGCATATAGATGGAGGATCACTTTACAATATTAAGAAAATGTTAGACATTCTTAAATACAATTCTAAGTCTCTGTATTTATATAATAGTATACTTTGTCAAGATAAAAAAAGGAAATCATAACAAGAACCATACACATTTTTTATTCATCTTGTTTGATCTTGTTTGTTCAAACATTTTTTATTGATCTTGTTTGGTCACCCATTCAAGCCGTATGCCCTACAAAGAAGAAAAATCAAACATAAAATTGCTCTTGTTTAATCCCAACTCTTGAAAATTTAGCATGATTGTAGGTGATGAGGTGGTACAGAAGATGGAGGATCACTTTACAATATTAAGAAAATGTTAAACATTCTAAAATACAATTCTAAAGCTCTTTATTTATATAATAGTATATTTTTTCAAGATAAAAAAAGGAGATCATAACAAGAACCATAAACATTTTTTATTCATCTTGTTTGATCTTGTTTGGTCAAACATTTTTTTGTTGATCTTGTTTCTTGTTTGGTCAAACATTTTTTTATTGATCTTGTTTGGTCAAACATTTTTATTTATCTTTTGTGGTCACCCATTCAGGCCGTAAGCCCTACAAAGAAGAAAAACCAAACCTAAAATTGCTCTTGTTTAATCCCAACTCTTGAAAATTTAGCATGATTGTAGGTGTGAGATTGTAAAGGAGGAAGTTTTACTCTTAAAAGCACCTTAGTATTAAATTGACTTATGGGAGCAGCAACAAATAGCATAGCATGATCATGAGATTAGCCTTGCCCAAATACGCAAAAGAAAGATAATGCATGGCCTAATTGATTTATGTGTAATTTTGATGATGTATCAATAAAAACAAGTAGCTTGTAAATCAAACTAAAAATTGATGCTATAAAAATGGAAGTACAGCATTGTAATTAGGTAAATACAGATGGTAGTGTTGGTTGGACATCATTTATCAACACTTCTTCTAATAAGACATCCCATCTTTGGAATTTTGGCCTAGAATTTGACGATGAATAAAACGATACATCTTTTTGTGCATTTGATCTTGGAAAAGAAAATAATGCATGCATCCTACATTTAAAAGTGGAAATATATGAATAAACGGAGTTAAAATTGAGAATACTTAATGACTAACCATTAGAATGAGTCCTCAATTTTTCATTTGAATTAATAGTCCCTCCTTTAACAAAGGTTTTTGATCCAAGTGTGTCAATCCCCTGTAAGGAATCTATTAGCACAACATATGAGTGAGTACTATCATATTTTTGTTCTCTTCATATTTCAAATCATTATGAATAATTAGTTAACTAACAAACCATTAGAAATTTATTTTCTAAAACCTAGAAAAGCTTCCTTTTAAGTGTGATGCATGAAAGTGAAAAATTTACATTATTTTTGTCTTCTTTCTTTTTCCGTGCTTCTGAAAAACTTATTTTGAGCGATGAAGTTCACCTCTAACCAAACATAAGAAATTTACAATGTAAATCCATCATGAAATTGCATACAATTAGAATATAATAAGTGAATAGTGAGCTTTATAAAATATCTTAAATACAAAAAATTAGGTGAAGAATAATAAGGAGAGTTTTGGTACAAATCACATTAAAAGAAGATTCCACATCTTCTACTGACGATTATTTGAAAAAAATTAACCTTCGAGCCTATATATATTTTTCCTCAACACTCTTATATACCTTATGTTTATTCACATGCTAAAATAATAACAAAATTTTAATTTTTATACTAAAATAATTGGTAAACTTTAATTTCACAAAATCTCATAAAATGCAATTCTTATTTTGTATGTATGTATGTATTTAGACATCAAATGGAGCTTTTGTAAATCCTCTAAAGCCTTATCATGTGTGTTCTTCACAACAAAATCATCAATTATATAGAACAATATGTCTGAAGATATTTGATTTAAACTCAATTTTCAAAAAGCAAGATCTTTGGAATATTTTTGATCCCTTGAACAATGATTCATGTTTTTGGTATTTTTGACATACACAAGGTTTGTATGTTTTTTTTATAGGAGTAATAAGTTTCAAGTATCAATATCCAATTATTATTATTATTAACTTGAATAAAAATATACTGATAAATATTTCTTATGTATGACTTTTAAGACCTAGGGACTGATGAAGTTGATGAAGATATTCAAAATCTTGTTGAACTAGTCGAATCAATGCTTCAATCACCTTGAGGTTTGTATCTTCACTATTTTCTCTTGAGCAAATAAATCTAGTTCAATATTTTATGTTGTGATTGTGATATATGTGGAGAACTATAGTTTCACAATGGTGGTGTACTAGGTTGCCAAAAAATTGAGGTTATGCATTTTGTTTTTTATAAGCATAAACAAGTTTCATTAGTTTATGTTGACAACAAGACTCCAACATATATTTTATCTTAGATTATCTTAAATCATAACTGTGTAAGCAGGAATATTAGTTGGTTTGACTGAAGTTTCCCTGACTTTTGGCATCAAGTTTTAAGCTGGATTTAACTATGATTTGGTTTAAAGCCAAACAATTAGTTTTTGTAGTCTTAATCCATGTAATGGTATTTTCTTCTCGTTCCATGGTAAATTGTGGATTTGACAAATTCTATTGGAGCAGAGATTTAACCCAATTTAGCTTTCTTGGTATTTTCCTCTCAATCTTTCCAGTCCGCCACTTACAAGTGATTGAAGTCTTTTGTTATTCTTCAATTTATTTATTATTTGGTTAACATTGAATAGTTCTTGTAATTTCTATATTGGTGATCCTCATTGCTCAACTAATTAGAAATACTGTCTAGCAGTGAAACCAAATTTGAAGGAGGAAACTCATATATATATATATATATCCTTTGTGTCCTTTTTATTTGATTAGATGACATAGTTATGCATTAAACTGTATTTTGTTTGCTTATATTTTTCCTGACAGCTGCCTCATGCTCCTGCCATTGTTCTTCCCACTACCATGCCCTGCCCTTCACAACTAGTTGATCTAAGCTATCTTGAAACTCCAGGATCCTTCACTCCTGCTGCAACAAAACCATCTCCTACCCCTTCAGCAGTTCTCACCCACTTATGTTGCTTCTGACCATGTAAAAGTTAAAATTCTTTGAACTTGAACTACTTGATGCTTATTAATATTAATTAGTTGATTACATTTTCATGAATTGTAATTGTTTAAATAGGTTTACAGGGTGTTCATGCTGCCCCATGTTTTAAAACAGGGCTTACTCATCTTGAACAATACCAATTTTTTTATGCATATCACAGTAGCAATTCCTCGAAGTTTCTTGCACATATCATTTAGCTTAAACAAGTTTTGGTAAGCTTCTAAAGGTCATTTTAACCTTTTTCATTTTGAATGTTGCTATTGTTACTGATTATGTGACAAATGGTTTTGGATTAATTACATAGGTGTAGAGCTCATAGTATAATTTCCAAACCATTTTTATTCACTTAAGCATAATTTTAGAGTCCAATTTTATTTTCTTAGAAAAAAAACTGTATGTTTTTGTTGTCATTAGGACTATTTTGAGGCCTCAAATATTTTGGTTCAAATATTTATGCACAACAGAAACTCTTTTCCTTTATTCTTTCCTAACTTGAAAATAAAATGTGGCAGTAGTAGGATTAAAAGTAAAATATAGAATCAACCAGCTATTATGATGGTTGTATGAAGGATGTTTCTTACAGAAGTTTTGTCTATAAACAACAAAAGTACTTGGTTATCATTTCAAATTGACTGTGGAACGCAATTTTTTTTTTCTTTTTGGGAAAAATTTGAGTGTTGGAGCACAAATTTTATGTAAGGGGCATTTGATCCTGAGAACTTGGTCATACTTCCAAGATCTTTTCTAGCTGGAAATGATAATGAATAGCAGATTTTTGTCTTGGGGTAGGTGTTGAAGAATATAAAGAACTCAACCACAATGCCAAAAAGTTAAATAATAAGTTAAATGTCCTACTCAAACTTGGTTTGTGTTCCTTTACTAAACTAATTAAACAAATCTACCCGCAATTATGAAGCTTGATCAATAGACAAGACAAGCTGCAAATGTATTACATTACTCTGATTCTCTAGCTATGGCATCCTCAACAGCCCAAGCAGCATTTAAATGTTGGTTGCCATCTTGGTTCTTTACCTCTTCTCGCAAAGCACCGGATTACTTGGATAAGAACCTCCATTAAACGCAATATGGAAGCTCAGAACTTTGCTTATGCAAGGAAAATGCTCGACCTCCTCCTCTCAAAGGCTCTACCAAGCATGCAGGAATGCAGGATGAATTGAAGAGCCTGATTAAAGAGGGCTCTCAAACAAGTCAATTGATCCAGAGGAAGATCCTGCTCAATTCTGTTAAGGCAAAGTAATCCTCATGCTTCTGTTATTTTATCTGCTCCACTATCACTCTTCTTGCACAAATACGCCTAACTCTTAACATTCCAAGCAAACAAAGCTAGCTAGAAAACTTCTTCAAGCCACTGTTGGTGGCGACGAGGGATCAGCCAATATGCCACAAATCCTGGAGGTGATGTTGGATAACCCAGGCCCGAACGGTGGAGCTGTGAAGACTATAGGAAGGAAGCTCTCTTCAATGTGCACGAATGCCTTGCAGCAATTCTGCGTAAACCTTATGTGTAAGGTGAGGAAAGAAGGAATAAGCTGTAGCATTTTATGAAGTCAGGGATGAGTTGGAATAAAGAGGCTGTAGGCATTGTCGTGCCGACGGTGACAAGAAAGAGGATGGCATAAGCTGCTGCTGCTGCTACTGATTTGGCCATTGTTGCTGTACTTGTAAGGTAAAGTATGTATGTTTTGTTGTTTAGAGAGATGAGCTGTGGATGGGGATTTATATATAGTTTACAAGTGAGATTAGAATGTGTAATTAAGTTATATGCAGAGGTAATGAATTTAATTGATTTTTGAAGGTTTTAATCGGTTTCACCTAAGCTGTACGTAGTAATTAGTGTAATTAAGAGCACTAAATGCTGATAACTGTTCACAGGATCTTTATTGGGATCACTTTCGCGTTGTTTATTGAAGAGGAGTTGAAAGGCTCCATTTGGGGGAGAAATTGTTACGTGCGGAGTCCTCATGTAAAGTTACGTCCTGACTCCAATCAAATGACGACGGGAATGAGCAGATCTACCTAAATCCCGGGAGCAACTGCCAGGGCTTCATCGCTTACTTAATTGCCTTTTTGTGATTAATCTCAGCCCATTATGTTTAACCAATTGATCAATTCTCTACCGTTAGATATAGTATATCATGCATATAAAACTTTCAGTTATGTACTGTTGAAAGGTACACATAGGATAGAATTAGAGTTCAGATTTCAGTTTTGCCTTCTCCCATTTCTCTGCTACGGTTTGCTGTAATTCTTCAACTCATGCAGTGACTTTTAGCTTGATAAAATTACTTCAACTCATTGGTAACAAAGCCATTAAAATTATTTGAGATGTGTTATATATTCGTGCTTGAGTACCTAAGATTTCTGAGACCTTTTTCCTCGAAGAGAAAATTAAGTCTCTTATATATATTTAAGAAATACTTGAAATCTTCAGGATATTACCCTTTGATTGGACCATAATAATATCAATATTTTGTGTTCTTCCGATGTTCACACATTTTTTTGAGGCGTGTCTTATTTGATTTTTTTTTTTTTTTGATGAATTGTTCAACGAAAAGTCTAGTTAGATTGGTGAAAGTATAAATAATTTTACCCAAAGATGGTCAAATCATGTGTGAGATTGTCTCTTTAGAGTTATGGTAAAAAAATTAGCGAAGGACTACATCAGAAGCATGTAGAATGTGCATAATAGTTTCTATTGGTCAATGTGCTCACAAGGGGTCAGAATTTTCATTATATGGATCAATTAAAAGCATGTTAAACCAATTGAAATTGGATGTTGGAGATATGCATCAGTTAGGGATGAAGATTACAAAAAGATTTATAGGATTTGAACATAAAGTTTTTCCATATTGTGTAGGCTTAGGTGTATATTCTGATGTACTTGATTGATAGATTGTTTACCAATCATTGAAAAAATATGTATAGTATGTCGGAAAATTTTCCAATGGACAACATCAAACTCTTACCTGCTAGAACATTTGTGGTGGTAGACTACGTTTATTTTTTATCTTTGGACAAAAATCCAGCATGCATGAAAAAAAAATTGTGAGAGGAAAAATTGTTATGTGAAAAGCTTAAGAAGGAAAAAAACCGCAGGACTGTCCTAATTGCAATAATTTTGTATATAATGAAAGATACAAAATTCTTTCTTCCTCATAATTAATGAAAATGGGATTATACATAGTTGAGGGTCATTATCTAATTTCTATTAGAGGGATTACAAAAATCAAATTTTCTACAAGTGAACAGTTAAAACCCAACAATAGAAAATTATTTTAATAGTCAAACAACAAATAGTAGGATGATAGAAGTATGGTCCATATTGTTCCCTTTGATCATAGACTATTTATCAAATTTATAACTACATTAATGATGTCATAATCAAATAATCTTAGGTTTGTTAGATTCGTCTCGTTGAGCCGCTCAATTTGATAATAAGCACGCCATATATGGAAACTATTTAATCCTCAATTAATATTCAAAAGTTTTTAAATATGTTTCGTGTTTGATTGAAGCTCATTTGGAGTAAGATCGAATCTTTTATGGTGTTGATGGGCTTGTCTTGTTGTAACATTCACGTCAACTATAAGTTTGTTAAAATCAAATTTTGGTTAGTCTTAAAGTTAATTTTGAAAGTTTCAATTCAAATGTTGTTTTGGAGATTCGTATAACAAATTTTTTGGAGCATATGAAGTTTAATAATATATGTTTAACTAATTCTACTTGCAATAAAATGCACTCATAGAATCTCTTGACTAACCCTCATTTTATGAGATTACTTATCACTAGGACTTTGTTTTGGATGAACAAAAGATTATAACTTTCAAGGGAAGTTTTAGACTTTCATGTTTATTTTACAGAGTGCACTAGTAGCCTTTAACATTGACAAATTCATAAAGGGATTAAACAAAGAATTTTCTTTGTTGTTAACCTCTGCACTCTCTGATTCCTAGTCTTTGTAAGAAGTTTGGAATTATTTTGTAGTGTTGTTTTGGAGACTAGCCCTACTAACTGTAATATATTATGCTTTGTTAATTGATGGAATAGCAATCTTAAAGGAATACTTGTTTGACAAATTTTTTGTCAGAAATAAGTATTTTCGCCACCACCTAAAATGGATGAAGTAGTGCGAAAGGATGCTGATAGTTTTAATGATTTTCCAAAAAAAAATGATGATTTCTTAGCTTTCAAATTGAAAAAGCCCTGATATATCTTTTTAGAATACTTCATTCAAAATCATTCATGATTTCTCAACACCAATAAGGGCTACACCATGTGCTCAATTTGGTTTCTCCCAAGTCAATCATCTTAAATATAAAAAATTGTATCATGACATTCTAACACATCTCTCCAAAAGTACCTAGCAATTTTCACATACATGCAATAAGTGGAGTTATCTTTTTGTCTTCTCCAACTCGAATCAAAACTAAGTTCTTTCTTAATTTTATAATTCTCTAAAAGTATCATGATTTAGTTAATAGGATGACATATAATGGACATTAAAATTAGAGAAAACAATGTGAAAATTATTCTTTTTTGGTGACACAAATTATCTTTTTTTAGGTAGATTTTGTAGGAATTCTTAATAAATGGATTTTAATCCTTTTCAATTTGTGCATAATTATAGACAATCCTATATTTTTCATATGAAACTCATCAATTGACATCTTTAGTGAATTGTAACAAACATTCATCTCAATAAGGGGCTATTTTGGAAGTTAATGCTCAGTGTTGAGATATCTTAAAAGTAACAAAGTATCATTTGCTTGTTATACCTCTTGTTCTCATTATTCTTACACGTGTATGGCTCATTTGATAGTTTTTTATTAATAACTTCTCATATGGACCTTATCAACTTTAAATAATTATATAATTTCTTATTCCATTTAGAATTGAATCTTTTCATAAATGAATAAACTATTATGTTTCTCATCATGCACAAATATCGACATAAAAACCATGTTTACTTCAAGTTCTTAGAGAAAATAAACCCATTTTTGTCAAATTCATTTACCTTGCTAATTTTTATTTTATTATTGGTTTGTTGACCACATTTTTGTATGAGGTCACTAGGACTTACCTAAGTTTCTTTATGGTGACCTAATAATTGGAAGATGTTCACTTGTCAAGATTATATAGGTCTTAGTCAAGATGTAATCCAATCCTAATCAAACTCAATTCCACTTTTCAATTCAACTTTCAATCAACCTTCAAGTCATATCCAATCAATCTCAATAATTTATTTGATTTTCATTGATGTGGATACTTCAAACTCAACCATTCAAGTCCAAAATCCAATCCAAATCTAGGATTCCAAATTAAATCCCAGGGTTAGGGACTCAGGTCTTGAAACCATTTTTGGGTGATTTTTCTATCACCTTGAAGCCCAGTCAATTGACCTCTGAATCATGATCTATTCATTACAAATTATTTATACATGTCTCTAAGATCAACTCACCAAATTTGAGCTCAATATAAGACTCCTAGCCCTAAAAAATGAATTGATTTTCAAGTGTTGTAAAACCTTCAAATATGTATATTTTATGCCACTAGACTTATCACCTTGTGAATTTTAACCCTGGAACCCCTCACAAAACCTCCAATCATGTTCATAATCTTTATTATGACATATTGACTTGTAAATCACATTTTCTTGGGCTTAGTTTGACCCATGGTTAACTAAAGGTCAAAATGATCAAAATACCCTTCAAAGGGATTGTTTTGTCTTTTTACCAAAGTTCAACATGGCCGAACCATATAAAATCTCAAAACATATTCCAATAGATCCAAGATATTATTAGAAACACATTGGACCCAAACCCACCATTTGGTTTAACCTAGTTGACCAAGTCAACCATGGTTGACCAAAATGTCCTTTAAGTATTCAAATGGCCATTTCAAACCAAATGATCTCCTCTTTATTTGAAACCACTTCCATTGAGTTCATATTATCAAATTGAACTCAATAAACCCAACCCTTCACCTTAGGTCAACTTGATTGACTAGGTAAACCAAGTTTGACCTAACCTCTCATACACTTTCATCTCTTTCAAACCTCAGATCATGCCAGAGAAGTCATGCGATTACGATGATATGTGGGGTTGAAGATGCAATCAGAGATGTTGATCTCAATCAATGACTCTGATTATATCCCACGATCTCAGGCTACTTTAAATCACAACCTTTTGATCTTTAATCAAATGGTTAGGGTTTAATCCATGTTATCCAGTCACTTGCTAACCATTTCCTCGCTCACTCGAAGGCGCCACGTGGAAAGCGTGCAGCAGATTGGATAATTAGGCATTTAATTTCACAGGAAAATTAAGGGATATTTGAAAATTAATATCTCCCAATGTACTTGAACAAATTAAGAGTTTTTAGGCTCATAGGAAAGATCTCAGGGAAATCTTCAAAAACCCTTTGGTTCCAAGCCCTAATTCAACATATTTTTATCTTAATTCCAACAATAGCGTCTATAGTATTTTAGCATTTATGATTAAATTATGTGTCCCCATGGCTTGGAATTTTGGGAGATTAATTTTGGGTATGTTAAACATATGCACAAAATTTCTCTCATATGTTTGATGTGGTTAAGGGCATATTTATGTCAATTTAAGCTTAGGGGTTATGGTTTGACCCCTAAGTTTAAATTGATGTAATAATCTATCTAATGGGATTTAGGTGTGTGATTTAGGGTGTTAATTATGCTCAGGATAGGGAGTTTAGAGCCACTAATTGCACCCCCTCCCTAGCCCTTGGTAGTGAGCTAGGATTTTTCTAAGGTATCATAGAGGTTACGTTTGGTGGTTCAGTTCACTACCTTAAGTGATCTAACATGGGACCCAATTTAGTGGGCTTGAGACTTGGGGTTATTTGAACTCATGGCCCAAGTTTCACTAAAATTGATGCCCATTTGGTCCACCAACTAGGGAACCCAAAATCACCCCCTAAATTTGACCTAGAACCTAAATTAGTTCATAATTAATTCATATAAAATCCTAAAATATCACATAAGGTCTCTAATTTTTTTTAAAATTACACCCTTAATCCATGAAAAATAAATTCCATATGATTATACCTTTAATTTAATATTAATGTTTTAAAAGGAAAATTGACAACTAATTAAATTAATTAAGTATAAATATTTAAAATTTCAAAAAAAATTATAAATACTTTGATAAATCCCCTTAGGTCATTTCTAACCTTTTGGGGTGATTCCAATAGGTTTGAAATTGATTTGGATCAAAATCTAAAAATCCTCCCTAATCAAACAATTTCTAAAATCCCAAAAATTTCCCAACTTTGAAAAATTACCATTA